TATGGAACGCAGTCTGTTGGAGATATTTTCATTACTCTAATGGATGGTAGCCTTGTCATTATGGAAGGTAGTTTGTTGTTAAGATTTTCATTACTCTAATGGATGGTAGGCTTTTCATTATGGAAGCTAGTTTGTTGTCAATATTTTTGTTACTCCAATGGATGGTAGCCTTTTCATTATGGAAGGTAGTCTATTGTCGATATTTTTATTACTCTAATGGATGGTAGCCTTATCATTATGGAAGGTAGTTTGTTGTCGATATTTTTGTTATTCCAATGGATGGTAGGTTTATCATTATGGAAGGTAGTTTTATGTCGATATTTTTGTTACTCCAAAGGATAGTAGCCTTGTTAAATGAAGGTAGTATATTGTCGAGATTTTGTTACTCCAATGGATGGTAGCCTTGTCATTATGGAAGGTAGTCTACTGTCGAGATTTTTGTCACTTCAATGGATGGTAGCCTTGTTATTATGGAAGGTAGTCTGTTGGCGAGATTTTTGTTACTCCAATGGATGGTAGCCTTGTCATTATGGAAGGTAGTGTCTTGTTGATATTTTCATCACTCCAATGCATGGTAGCCTTGTCATTATGGAAGGTAGTTTCTTGTTGATATTTTCATTACTCCAATGGATGGTAGCCTTCTCATTATGGAAGGTAGTCTATTGTCGAGATTTTTGTTACTCTAATGGATGGTAGCCTTTTCATTATGGAAGGTAGTTTGTTGTCGAGATTTTTGTTACTCCAATGGATGGTAGCCTATTCATTATGGAAGGTAGTCTATTATCGAGATTTTTGTTACTCCAATGGATGGTAGCCTTGTCATTATGGAAAGTAGACTATTGTCGAGATTTTTGTTACTACAATTTATGCTGGCATTGTCATTGTGGAAGGTAGTTTGTTGTCGAGATTTTTGTTATTACAATGTATGGTAGCCTTGTCATTATAGAAGTTAGTCTGTTGTCGATATCTTTGTTACCCTAATGGTTGGCAGCCTATTCATTATGGAAGGTAGTCTATTGTCGAGATTTTTGTCACTCCGATGGATGGTAGCCTAGTCATTATGGAAGGTAGTCTATTGTCGAGATTTTTGTCATTCCAATGGATGGTAGCCTTGTCATTATGGAAGAGAGTCTGTTGTCTTGATTTTTGTTACTTAACGGATGGTAGCCTTGTCATTGTGGAAGGTAGTCTGTTGTCGAGATTTTTGTTACTCTAATGGACGGTAGCCTTGTCATTATGGAAGGTAGTTTGTTGTCGAGATTTTTGTTATTCCAATGGATGGTAGCCTTATCATTATGGAAGGTAGTTTGTTGTCGAGATTTTTGTTACTCTAACGGATGGTAGCCTTGTCATTGTGGAAGGTAGTCTGTTGTTGATATTTTTCTTACTCCAATGGATGGTAGCTTTGTCATTATGGAACGTAGTTTGTTGTCGATATTTTTGTTATTCCAATGGATGGTAGCCTTATCATTATGGAAGGTAGTTTTTTGTCGAGATTTTTGTTACTCCAATGGATAGTAGCCTTGTCATTATGGAAGGTAGTCTGTTGTCGATATCTTTGTTACTCCAATGGATAGAAGCCTAGTCATTATGGAAGGTAGTTTGTTGTCGAGATTTTTGTTACTCCAATGGATGGTAGGCTTTTCATTATGGAAGCTAGTCTGTTATCAATATTTTTGTTACTCCAATGGATGGTATCCTTGTCATTATGGGAGGTAGTCTGTTGTCGATATTTTTCTTACTCCAATGGATGGTATCCATTTCATTATGGAAGGTAGTTTGTTGTCGAGATTTTTGTTACTCCAATGGACAGTAGCCTTGTCATTATGGAAGGTAGTCTGTTGTCGAGATTTTGTTACTCCAATGGACGGTAGCCCTGTCATTATGGAAGGTAGTCTATTGTCGATATTTTTGTCACTCCAATGGATGGTAGCCTTGTCATTATGGAAGGTAGTATGTTGTCGATATTTTTGTTACTCCAACAGATGGTAGCCTTGTCATTATGGAAGGTAGTCTATTATCGAAATTTTTGTTACTCCAATGGATGGTAGCCTTGTCATTATGGAAAGTAGACTATTGTCGATATTTTTATTACTACAATGTATGATAGCATTGTCATTGTGGAAGGTAGTTTATTGTCTAGATTTATGTTATTACAATGTATGGTAGCCTTGTCATTATAGAAGGTAGTCTGTTGTCGATATCTTTGTTACCCTAATGGGTGGTAGCCTAGTCATTATGGAAGGTAGTCTATTGTTGAGATTTTTTTCACTCCAATGGATGGTAGCCTAGTCATTATGGAAGGTAGTCTATTGTCGAGATTTTTGTCATTCCAATGGATGGTAGCCTTGTCATTATGGAAGAGAGTCTCTTGGCGAGATTTTTGTTACGCCAATGGATGGTAGCCTTGTCATTATGGAAGGTAGTATGTTGGCGAGATTTTCGTAACTCAAATGGATGGTAGCCTTGTCATTATGGAAGGTAGTCTCTTGTCTAGATTTGTGTTACTCTAATGGATGGTAGCCTTGTTATTATGGAAGGAATTCTGTTGTCAAGATTTTTTTACTCCAATGGATGGTAGCCTTATTATTATGGAAGGTAGTCTGTTGTCGAGATTTTTGTTACTCTAATGGATGGTTAACCTTGTCATTATGAAAGGTATTATGTTGTCAAGATTTTTGTTACACCAATGGATGGTAGCCTTGTCATTATGGAAGGTAGTCTGTTGTCGATATCTTTGTTACTCCAATGGATAGTAGCCTAGTCATTATGGAACGTAGTTTGTTGTCGATATTTTTGTTATTCTAATGGATGGTAGCCTTATCATTATGGAAGGTAGTTTGTTGTCGAAACTTTTGTTACTCGAATGGATAGTAGCCTTGTCATTATGGAAGGTAGTCTGTCGTCGAGATTTTGTTACTCCAATGGATGGTAGCCTTGTCATTATGGAAAGAAGTCTATTGTCGATATTTTTGTCACTCCAATGGATGGTAGCCTTGTCATTATGGAAGGTAGTCTGTTGTCGATATTTTTGTTACTCCAATGGATGGTAGCCTTGTAATTATTAAAGGTAGTCTATTGTCGATATTTTTGTCACTCCAATGGATGGTTGCCTTGTTATTATGGAAGGTAGTCTGTTGGCGAGATTTTTGTTACTCCAATGGATGGTAGCCTTGTAATTATGGAAGGCAATCTCTTGTTAATATTTTCATTACTCCAATGCATGGTAGCCTTGTCATTATGGAAGGTAGTCTCTTGTTGATATTTTCATTATTCCAATGGATGGTAGCCTTGTCATTATGGAAGGTAGTCCGTTGTCGAGATTTTTGTTACTCTAATGCATGGTAGCCTTGGCATTATGGAAGGTAGTTTGTTGTCGAGATTTTTGTTACTCCAATGGATGGTAGCCTTGTCATTATGGAAGGTATTATGTTGTCGATATCTTTTTTACTCCTATGGATGGTGTAGCGGTGAAAATCGGAGATCAAGCTATTAATTAACTTGACTCGCAAAAGCAAGAGTCGCCACCGCGCTTTATTATTTCCAAAGGAAAAGGGAAAAGAGCGAAATAAAACCCTAAAATATGCAATGTAAAATAATACTTAAAAGTAATAAGAATACAATGCGTTTTTGAAAGAGATCGAAAGTTCGGGGGTTGGTTATACAATGGGAAGGTACTAGCACCCAATGCATCTGCGGTACTCCGCAGGAACCTTTTGAAATATCTGTTTTTGGTTAAAATTGTTTGTTTGGCTAAAAATAGGTGTTGGAGAGATTTTGAAGATACGACGACCTAGTGTCGAAGTTTTGGCTTAAAAGGTGTGAGTTTGAAAATGGAGTCTTTTGGGAAAATTATCTTGAGTTTAGCAAAATAGTAAACAAACAAAAAATGAAAAAAAAGGGGTATTCGCACGATCGGAAGACGTATTTGATGACATGAAGTCAACTGAGTTGAAACATTTCCCTTGGAATTAATCATAAGCGGGTAGATCTAATATTCGAGTAAGAAATCATAAATAGTTAACGAGAAACGAACAAGGTAGATAACAAGATAAATTGTAAGAAACTAAATGAATGGACAAAGAAGAATCATGAATAAAAGAAAAGTGTAATTAAAAAATTATCTAGACTAATTTGAAATTTTAAGGTTACTAAGTAAACTAAACTTAAATTCTAAAGTGTCTAACTAAATTAAATAAAATTTTGAAGTTATTAACTAAAACTAAATTAAAATTCTAAAGTTTCTAACTAAAATTCGAAAGTTATTAAATTAAATCTAAAATAAATTAACACTCTAATATTACTGAATTAGGTCTAAACTAAATTAATTCTAAAGTTGCTAAATTACATCTAAACTAGTTTAAGTATAAACTAAATTTATTATAAAATTATTAATTTAATCTAAACTATATTAATAATAAAATTACTAACTTAAATCAAAACTAAATTAATTCGAAATTAAAGATTAAAATTCTAAAGTTATCAAAATATATATAAACTAATTGGAAGTTCTAAAGTTATAAAATAGATCTAAACAAATTAAAATTTTTAAGTTATCAAAATATACCTAAACTAATTAAAGGTTCTAACATTACTAATTTATATCTAATTAAATTAAAATTCTAAAGTTATTAAATTAAGTCTAAAACTAATCTAAATAATAAATAAGTGTCAAATGCAAATGATATAAAAGCGTTTAATAATTACTCTTTTTCTATCGGTATATGATTAATCCATGTTTGTATGAAGTGAAATCCACCAAAGTTGACTAAAAAAAATGTATTAATACACTTGTCATGTTTTTATCTAAGAATACAATTCAAAGAAATTAACAAACATGTGTTAGACTTTTTTATAATTTATGGTGATAAAAGTCATAGAAATTGACAAAGACTAGCAAATGTGACAATGACTTGTGATTAATTACTCATAAATCATCTTAATCGTTTTCGTTGAAATAAATACATAAAAATGAAACAGCACATGACATAGTGTAGTACTTACTTGTTGGTGCCATAATTGACAAGATTAGCAAACAAAATGCCAATAGTGACATTAAGTCGGAAAAGTATATTCAAAGCACCACGTATTCTTGAAGGAGCAATTTCTGAAAGAAACATTGGCACAGCCTGATTAGCAAAACCAACACCGCAAAGTAAGATTCTTCCAACAATAAGCATGGCAAGATTTTGAGCAGCAGCATTGAAGGCAACTCCACTAATGAAGAAAAAAACAGCGATCAACATGGTGAGTCTTCTATCCAGTGTCCTAGTTGTATAGGAAGCAAAGAAATAGGCGGAGGGGTACTAGATGAAGAAGGGAGTTGTGAGAGAGAGATGGGTTTGATGTTGTTATGGAGATAAAGGGTGTTTGAGATAGAGAGGAAGCTATGGGTTTGTTGTTAGTTGTTTTTGGTGTGTGATGTGTCCCCCCCTTTTGCAAAGAAAAAATGAAGCCTTTAAATAGAAAAAGAATAGAAATATTATGATTTCAAAATAAATCCAAGCCGTTCAATATAAATCCAATCTCTATCAATCCGCAAACCATGCTTTCGACCAATGAGAATTCAATCTCTATCAATCCGCAAACTATGCTATCGACCAATGAGAATTCAATCTCTATCAATCCGCAAACTATGCTATCGACCAATGAGAATTAAGCGGAGCCTAATATATATTTTTTTGTGACCAAAAAATCCCTGAATGACAAAAATAAAATAAAACCTGAAATTATAAAAAAATAACTCAATTTAAAAAATGATTTTTTTGAATATTTTATGAATAAAAAATAAAGACCCAAAATGATCGAAAACGATAAAAGAACGGACGAAAATTTATCCGAAAAAAAAAAAAAATAAAAAATAAAATGAACACATTAAAATAATCTGCATGTCACAAAGATTAAAGAAAAAATATTCAAGAAGTCAAAAAATCAAAAATAAAATAATAATGAAAATATCAGACTAAACAGACGTTTAAGGTTAAAACGAGACTTCGAACTGTACCGAAAAAATAAAGCGAGCATACCGTCATAATCTACGCGAAGCGCAGATTCATAAAATGATCGGTAAAAGGTGAAAACTTGAAATATTTTCTCGCTACTTTCCCGCATAGTGTCGAATCGCTTTTAACAGTCTGTCTATAAAACCGAAATATTTTATTATTGACATATAAACAACTTGGAGCAATGCAAGAAATGGTAAACAAATAAAAATGAATGAAATGAAATGTCGGGTATTTTACAACTGAAAGACGATGCAAACTTTGATTTAAACTGACTTTTTCTGGTCAACCTAAATACGACTAATGATGCAAAATGCGATGAATGAAGGTATTTACTAACGATTGTGACCAAATGACAAAATATGGTATGAATGTGCGACTGAAAAACATATTAGGGGCGAAATCAAGGGTGCAACGGTGTGCCTTGATGAATCAGTCTTCGAGAATCCACAATCAACCGTACTTCTGGCTTGGGAGACTCAAAACCTTAATTGAGGCGCGACACCTGATGCTCTTGATTCAGACCTGTCTCTGCACATGAAACAAAAGAAAACACGAACATACACCTTTGTATGCGATTAGAAATTAGTGATACATAGGCTAAAAATGTTCAAAACACTTCGCATAGTCAAAGCTCGAAGGTGAGAGGTTAAAACCAACCGTATTTCGTGACCTTGACTTATCTTTAAAAATGCAAAAATAAAAATGGGATCTTAGGTCAAAAATTGGGGTACAACAGCTGCCCCTATTTAAGTTTCTTCTATCTGGAGATATGAAGATTGGGATCTTCATTTCGACGAGATTGAAGGGACTTAAATATAGAATACACAATTTTTTGCCTTAAGATACCGTGATTATGTTCATGATATGATATGAATGTAATGCTCTAAATTTTATGGGGAATGACGCCATATGAGACAGACTATGCTGGAGAAATCAAGCACATTATACAATAACACAGAGGAAGAGGTTGTAACTCCATTGGGGAAACAAAGTCATAGACTTCAAATGAGAGACTCTTGAATGATTTACATCAGTGTTGAGACTGGAAAAGAAATGATTTACATCAGTACGAAGACTGGAAAAAGAAATGGTTTACATCAGCACTGTGACTGGAAAAGGAAATGATGGACATCAGTACTGAGACTGGAAAAGGAAATGATGAACATCAGTACTGTGACTGGAAAACAAAATGATTGACATCAGCACTGTGGCTGGAGATAAACATCTCTGATTTCTGAATTTTACCAAGAACGGTAACACATTTCTTCTTTAACCAAGATATCGCTTGAAAAGGATAAAATAACAAACTTCCCCACGGGACTTTTCCGAAGGGATGTCATTTGCTGAGTAGACATTATTGTTGGGGATACACAAGCTGCTCAAATAAAGAGGCCGCCACTTGCTTCCTTTCAAAGGTGTAAATAACATACAAGTTGCTCATGAAGAGTCTGCCACTTGCTGTCTTCAAAGAATATTAAAACACACAAGCTGCTCATGAAGAGTCCGCCACTTGTTGTCTTCAAAGAATATCAAAACACACAAGCTGCTCATGAAGAGACTGCCACTTGTTGTCTTCAAGGGAACAATAACACACAAGTTGCTCAAATAGATAAGCTGCCACTTGTTGTCTTCAAAGAATATCAAAACACACAAGCTGCTCATGAAGAGACTGCCACTTGTTGTCTTCAAGGGAACAATAACACACAAGTTGCTCAAATAGATAAGCTGCCACTTGTTGTCTTCCAAAAATACTAACGTACAAGCTGCTCATGAAGAAGCTGCCACTTGCCGTTTTCAAAAAAGTGTTGATAACATACAAGTTGTCCATGAAGAGACTGCCGCTTGCTGTTTCTAAAAGTGTTGATAACATACAAGTTGTCCATGAAGAGACTGCCGCTTGCTGTTTCTAAAAGTGTTGATAACATACAAGTTGTCCATGAAGAGACTGCCGCTTGCTGTTTCTAAAAGTGTTGATAACATACAAGTTGTCCATGAAGAGACTGTCGCTTGCTGTTTCTTTTCAAAATTACCAATAACACACAAGTTGCTCATGAAGAGACCGCCGCTTGTTGTTTTCTCAAGGTATCAATAACATACAAGTTACTCATGAAGAGACCGCCGCTTGATGTTTTCAAAGGTATCAATAACATACAAGTTACTCATGAAGAGACCGCCGCTTGATGTTTTCAAAGGTGCCAATAACATACAAGTTGCTCATGAAGAGACCGCCGCTTGATGTTTTCAAAGGTGTCAATAACATACAAGTTGCTCATGAAGAGACCGCCGCTTGATGTTTTCAAAGGTGTCAACAACATACAAGTTGCTCATGAAGAGACCGCCGCTTGCTGTTTTTTAAGAGTATCCATAACACACAAGTTGCCTCATGAAGAGACCGCCGCTTGCTGTTTCTCAAGAGTATCCATAACACACAAGTTGCCTCATGAAGAGACTGCCGCTTGCCGTTTTCAAAGGTGACAATAACATACAAGTTGCTCATGAAGAGACCGCCGCTTGCTGTTTGTCAAGAGTATCCATAACACACAAGTTGCTCATGAAGAGACTGCCGCTTGCTGTTTCCCACAAAGATACCCATAAAATATCGTGAAGATATTGCTGGAGGTGAGAACCAATAATTTCATCGGGGATGGACAAATTGCTCATGAAGAGACCACCATTTGTCATAAAGAAATCAGAAATAATCAAACTGCTCAAATAAAGAGTCAGTCGCTTGTTGTCATGTCGATATTCCAGAAGAAGGTTGTGATAACACTGCTGGGGAATAAAGTTCATCTTCAATGGGGAACCATGAATAAATCCTTCTTGAGGAGACCAAGTATTTACGTTGCAAAATAAATGCACTCTCCATCTAGGTTCCACAGCCTAGAGAGATCCACAGGGTATCGTTCACAAGAGACAAAGCTCAATCCAGGAATAAACTGGAGAGAAAATAGTCAAACAAGACTCCACCCAATGAGGAAACAACTCAAATGGGGATTTATCCTATCCAGAGATGGAAAAGGAAAGCTAAAGCAAGATTCTTCCACGAGAGTTAACTCAGTGGGGAATTAGAAAAAAGAGGCGCACTTTCTGCTTAAGTTGACACTCTATTTGGAAAGATCAAATACGCTATTTGAATAGACATAACCAAGGTATACGTACTCAAAGACATCAACAAATACAAATGTGCGTGCATGATGCAAGTATGAACGAATGAATGAATGTTATGTATATGTTGACAAAACAGACAGGGGAGATAGACAGAAGATGATAAGACGTCCCAGTACAACCCGACGCTCGGCTAATCTCAACAAAAGGGGAACATTACTGGAGATAGAAAACAAAAGCCATCATTGGAGCAAAGTCCTTTTACAAGGCTTAAATCTCTTTGGAGAGGAAGATATTTTTCGGTAGGAAGCCCAAAGTTCAGTCTTCTATCGTCAACAATCCATTGAAAGGATAACAACACAATGTTTTAGCTGGAAAAAGTCATGCTTAACTGGAGATACTGGGAACACCACCCTCTGATAATGTGTGCAATACATATCACATATCTTGACAAATCTAGATTGCCCCTAGGACTAATTTTGGATGCCCCAAGTTTACTGCTGATGAGCTGCATGTTGCACGACAATTCTTGCGAATAGCTTCACTTCTAACATGTCCCAAGCTATCTGGTTGATGAGGAGAAATCGTCTCAAGAGGATTTTACAAAAGACCTGGCATTCACCATGCTCTGGTGTCTTCAAACTCTTAGAGGAATTCATCAAATCTCGACGTGATTGCCCCAGATTGACTGTAGTTGGCACAACAAAGTCTTCTATTTTTGCCCCAATAAAGGGTAAACAAGTTGGGAAAGCATTAACTGGGAGAAGCAACATGTTCGTGCTTACGGTCTTCAGGTGACATGCCCCTGGATATGATTTTTCTTAAAATGATACTCCAATTACTCAATCATAGTTTCAGGCCTTAAAAGAATAAACTCATCACTGGTGCTTATGTGAGCTTCTTTGATATCAAACAAATGTTTTGCAGTTAGAAAGAGTTTACAATGAGAATGAAAATTCTAATGCAACAGTTATGTAAGTCTTGAAGATTTTGAAAGATATCGCACAAATTTTGCGAGTTAAAGCACCATTTATTTTTGTATAGGAAAAACATATGATACCAACATAACTATTTAGAACATTCATGGGAGTCAGGAACACTATCTCATTGAAGTATGCTTTCAAAATAACCTTGCT